AGGTTTAGGTTGGATATTAGGAAAAACTTTTTCACTAGGAGGGTGGTGAAGCACTGGAATGCGTTACCTAGGAAGGTGGTGGAATCTCCTTCCTTGGAGGTTTTTAAGGTCAGGCGTGACAAAGCCCTGGCTGGGATGATTTAGTTGGGATTTGGTCCTGCTTTGAGCAGGGGGTTGGACTAGATGACCTCCTGAGGTCCCTTTCAACCCTGATATTCTATGATTCTATGATTTCTCTCAGGATGGAACGTTGTGGAGTCTTCCACTTTTAGACTGGGGGTCCAGGCTGCAGCACCCCTGTTTACCATCCATGATAACTTAGTAGATTTACTGTGTTTAGACACCTGTTAGATTTCCCTTCAGGAGCTGTGGCCAATGAGAACACAGTGACTTGTTCAAAACAAAATATTAGTTATTATATTAATATATATTCATCGGGTCTAGTTATTATTTAGTCCTGCCTTGAGTGCTGGGGACTGGACTAGATGACCTATTGAGGTCCCTTCCAGTCCTACACTTGAATGATTCAATGAATATTATAACAGAGCACCAGCTCCGTTGTAGTTAAGAGTGAGATCTCCTGTCTGTTGAAAGGTCTAAGTGATCTACATGCCACATGATTATTTGGATTCCCTTGAAATGTGGTGTGCTTCATGGGGACATGGAGTTAGATTAATGATCCAGATCTGGAGTCATTTGAGTGAGGGTTTGAGTAAGAGGCTTCCAGAAAAAAACCCAGTATTCATAAAAGTGAAGAATTCTGCAAACTTTTTTTTGTGCAGTTCTAGGGATCAAACCTTGGCTCTGATCATGGCTACATGATCTGAATACTTTGACCCAGACAGTGTATACGGCACTCATTGGCTCTTTGGAGGATCAGAATGAAAATGCTATTTAAGAAAGAGTTTAGTTCTCTAGCTAGGGACATTCCAAATATTATCATGTCAAATTGTGCATGTGCAGACACAGAGCCCAAGAGGCATTTTAGGGAGCAACTACATATAGGACATGAATAACTTAACGGCATATATTATGGCCATTGAACTGGAGAAACATCCAGGCGCTATAAGTTCAAATTCATTCTTGGGCAGAAATGGAGGAGGCGGGGAAGTAGGAAGTGGCTTGTCTCTGTGAAATTTTTTTTTAATTTTGAGGAAATGTAATCTGAGTATAGCAGAACATTCCAAAAGTGCTCAAACTCTTTTTGAAAAAGAAAAAATTACATCTGCAAATGCTTCTTGGGAAGGGGGAGTGGAGGAGTGGGGGGAATAGGGAGAGAGAGTTTGGCTGCAGCAAGGGGAAGGAGGATTATGGGGAGGGAGATAAATGTGGATGGGTGGTAGGGGAGGGTAGAAGGGTTGGGAGCTCAGGTCAGGGGAAGGGATTAGACTGGGAGTGGGATGGGAGAGGTGGAATGGGACACTGGGAGGGGTGACATGTCGGGAAGTGGGAAGGGTTAGGGGTGGGGAACATCTGTCAGCCCCACATCCTTCTCTCCCATATATGCTGGGATGGGATCTGGAAGGGCCCAACCCTTCTGAGGGTGTCTGAGACTCTCTCTCTGCCCCCCTATAAACACAGACAATGGGGCATAAAGAAATAGTCATTTCCCTCTCTGTATGTTTCTGTCTCCTGCAGGTTGTCTGACTTTGATCTCACAGCTGCTTGTTGTGGGGCTCTCTCCTCTGTTCTCAGCACCAGCCAGACCCTGACAGAGCTGAACCTGTGGAAAAACAAGCTAGGAGATTCAGGCGTGCAGCTGCTGTGTGAGGGACTGAAACATCCAAACTGCAAACTGCAGAAAATACAGTAAGAGCTGATTTCCTTTAGACTGAGCCTGTTAACGTTATACTATTGCAATTTCAGCTCTTCCTCCTGAGATCACAGTACCAGTGTGAATGCACCAACAACCCTTGAAAAGCACCACGGCCCAGATTTTAAAAGGTATTTCGGCATTGTGGCACTCAGTGTTGCAATGTCTAAATGACTGTCAGTGGGATTTAGGCTCTGAAGCTGAAACGTCTAAATACCTTTAAAAATCTGTGTCCCACTGTCTTCCAAAGGAGTGGGAAAGAAGACCCCCTGCCATGTAAATGGATCATATTGTACTAGATAAGAAGTTAGATCACACAGTGGCTCTTCAGATACCGGAAATGCAGTATATGTTAGAGTAGAAACTCAGGTTATTTTACTCACTAAGTGTGAAGGAGAACACAGTTATAGGTGATTTTCACAATTTGATTAAAATAACCCTCTTTCATTCAAATCCTTTACCACCATCACAAGAGCTGATCCTGGGACATATATAACACAGAGACAAAGAAACAGAAAGAGGGAAAAAAGAAATGGAAAAGGGCAAAAAGAGTGATTCAGCAAGGGACTACCTCTGGGGGCAGGTATCTGTTGGTAAGTACTTTGTGCTTCACCCCCTCTTCCTCGGCCTGCCCGTCCCTCCAGGCAGCAGCTCTCACAGGTATTGGCAACACTGGCACGTCCAGTTAGCTCTGCAGGTCTAATTGGCTGGTCAGGAACAATCCCAGGCAACTGTAAATGATTGTGAAGCTCTTTAGTTGATAAAACCCCTAGAGTATGAGTATGAGTGCTATTTCAGTCCAAAAGACACCTGGCTCAGTGTTTAAATCCACCGCTCGGAGAGAATGGTGTCAAATCTCTGGGTTGCAGCCTGGCTTCCTCATCAATGGAGAATGGAAAGGAAAAGAAACAAAGCATGAGGAGGGAAGATGAGATGGATGCGAGTGAATGGTAGTGAGTTCTGTGGTATTTTGGGCTAGTTTAACAAGGTGGCTTTCCCCTTAAGGACTGGAGACCTGATCCAGCCAGCCCTTACTAGGCACACCTGAGCAGGGATCACCTGATCACCTTATCAAAGGCAGCAGGAAGTCATAAGTAGGGGTAGGGGAATGTCTCTCCTCGAGCAATCAGTAACAGGGTCTCATACAGGCAGCTTTTCTGTTATTTGGAGTTTAGCACTTTACCATTGTAGGCTCGGAAATCACTTGTTCCTGAATTGTTATAAATGTATTTTCTTTGGTGCTTGACACAAACATGGTGGCCATGTCCCTTCCTTTAGAACTGCAGCATCCCCAGCACTGGAGACTGGCTTCCACTAACCCAAACACGCTGGGAAGAAACTAATAATGTCGTTCAAGAAACTGCTGTAAAAAGCAAATAAAATAAATGTTAGTGTTTCCCCCAGGAAGGACTTGACCTTCTCCCTTGCTCTCCTCCCTTGCTCTCAGATGGTCCTTTGGGCCAAACCTACAGCACCACAATAGCTGAGAAACTCAGACCCTTCAAGCAAGCTGTTACTGGGAGCCTGGTGATGAGGCAGTGTAAAAAACATATGGTAGAACCTTGGTTTTAGCAATGAGAGATACAATCCTGCTACTGCCATGTAGGTATTGTATTCACATAGAGGATATTACAATAGTCCATCTAGGAAAGCCCTAGGGCCTATGGGGCTGTGCTACTCTCAATCAGTCCCTCACACTCAGAATGCACTAGACTAAGGCTCTGTCTGCAGTACAGAATTAAGTTGACCTAACTTACATCTGCATACAGCTGCCACAGTAATCACATCACTTGTGCGTGTCTGCACTTTGCTCCGTGTGTCTGCCATGAGCCTTCTCACCAGGAGCGCTTGTATCGATTGTACTGTCGGTGTGGGGCATTGTGGGAAGGCTTCTGAAAGTCAGGAACAGGTGACATAAGTAAGGCAGCATCTACACTGACATTGCATCGACCTAGCTAACCTTGATTCTACGCTGCTCATGGAGGGGGAGTTAAGTTGGTGTAGCTAGGCAGTTACATCAGTGGAAGTGAAATTTAAGTGTAGACACTTCCATAGTTAGGTTGACCTAAGCTGCCTTACATTGACCTGACTCTAGGATAGACCAGACGTAATTTAGACTCCTCAGCACACATTTTCACTTAGTGCCCAATTGTGTAAGGGAGTCTGAGCTGATTGCTTAAAACCAAGGAGCCAGAAGAAGGTGTAAGAATGTGTAAGTTCAGGTAAAGGGAGGGCTACTTTGACTTACACCATTTTACTTTTCAGAAGAGAATGGGACATAAACAAGTGATCATTTCCCTCTCTATATGTCTGTCTCCTGCAGGTTGTCCGATTGTGCTCTCACAGCTGCTTGTGGTGGGCATCTCTCCTCTGCCCTCAGCATCACCCTGAGCCTGACAGAGCTGATCCTGTGGAAGATCAGCTGGGGGATTCTGGAGGGCAGCTGCTGTGTGAGGGACTGAAACATCCAAATTGCAAACTGGAGAAACTATCATAAGTAACAGTTGGTTCCCTTTAGTCTGTGCCTGTTAACACTGTGGTGTTGTGTGTTGTACTCTACCAGGATCACAATATCCTAGAGTGCATGGAACCTACTCACGGAGCAGCCCCACACTGCTCCTGAGGAAAAGACAGAGATCCACTCATGTGTACATTGGTTTTATTTTATTAATTAACAATTGAATAAACCCTCAACCCTTGGGCCATATTCATCAGAGCAAAGCAGCTAGTGGGCAGCTGCCCTGAAGGGGTAGCCAAGGATCTCCCTGACTTAGCACAGTGTGTATGGAGGGGCATGGAGACATATGTTGGGGCAGGAGGGGGTGGGGCAGAGTTCATGGTGCAGTGTCAGATCCTAGGCTGGCACAGCCACTGGGGTAACAGAAGTCTGAGGACCCTCTAAGGACAGGTTGACACTTAAAATGCTGCAGTGGCACTGCTGTAGCACTTGAGTGGAGACACTATCTATGCTGATGTGAGGGCTTCTCCCATCAACATAGGTACTCCACCTCCCTGAGAGGCAGTTGCTATGTCGACAGGAGAAGGGGGTGGGAGGTCATAGTGGCTCACAAGTTAAATATGAGTCAACAGTGTAACACTGTTACAAGAAAGGTAAACATCATTCTGGGATGTATTAGCAGGAGTGTTGTAAGCAAGACACGAGAAGTAATTCTCCCGCTCTACTCTACCTCATCTGGAGTATTGTGTCCAGTTCTGGGCGCCACATATCAGGAAAGATGTGGACAAATTGGAGAAAGTCCAGATGAGAGCAACAAAAATGATTAAAGGTCTAGAAAACATGAGCTATGAGGGAAAATTGAAAAAAACGGGTTTGCTTAGTTTGGAGAAAAGAAGACAGAGAGGCATGATAACAGTTTTCAAGTACATAAAAGGTTGTTACAAGGAGGAGAGAGAAAAATTGTTCTCCTTAGCCTCTGAGGATTGGACAAGAAGCAATGGGCTTAAATTGCAGCAAGAGAGGTTTAGGTTGGACATTAGGAAAAACTCCCTAACTGTCAGAGTGGTTAGGCACTGGAATAAATTGCCGAGGGAGGTTGCGGAATCTCCATCATTGGAGATTTTTAAGAGCAGCTCAGACAAACACCTGTCAAGGATGGTCTAAATAACAGTCCTGCCTTGAGGGCAGGGGACTGGACTAGCTGACCTATTGAGGTCTCTTCCAGTCCTATGATTTGATATCTGACCCAGTATCAGGAGAGTGGAAAGGTGACTTAGAGCCGGTTTCCTCACCTACAAGTCTAGTCAGTTGTGTTGAGGTCAACTGGGTGAAGCTGAGGACACATTCCAGTGGCTTTTAGCAAACCCTAAATGCAGCATATTTTGATGTTAGAAACCCAATAACAACATTCCCCATCCCCCAGCCTGGAGCCATCACTCCAGCTTTCCCAAAAGGTCTGGAAAGAGAAGAAAATTAAACACTTATCTGTTCTCCCAAACTAGCTGTAAACAACGCATAGGAATAAATAACATCAGTATTAATGTGTTACCGCAAAGGGGCTTGGATCCCTGCTCATCACCCGTCATTTCAGGCTAAACCTGCAGTGTCACTCAGCTCCTGATAACACAGCTCAGCCAGCAAGTGTCACTGAG